GTGCATGTCTGTGTCAACATTCCAATCCTCAAGCTTAGATCCTTAATGAAACTGCCTACTTCATCAGGCGGATGAAGAAGTGGGGGAAAAGGTGTAGATAAGTGACCCTTGAGAGCTGCCAGCCTGGGACAGGGGGTAGGGAAAGCACTGTGTGAGAGTGAGTGAGTGAGGGCATGTGCGAGTGAATGTGTGTGTTCATTTGTGGGTGTGTGCTAGTTTGTGACTATGTAAGTGTGAACGTGGATGAGTACTTGTGTGTATATATGTGAGTACGCGTGTGTGGGCATGTATGAGCACAGGTGCATGTGAGGTGTGTGTGGGTAGGGATGCAAGTGTGAGTGTACACGTGTGTGCACTTACGTTTCTTTGACAGCTAAGAATATTAGCTTCAGTGGCTCGTCCTCAGCTTTTCTCGGAAGGGTCGCCCCATGCCTTACCTGCGAGGCTGGGAATTGAGCGGGAATGCCTCCCAGAGGCTGGCTTGATAGAATTAAGGGGGCATTCCTGGTGGGGTGGTTTAACTCCTCCCCTCATTCTCCCTTGCCTCCCCCAGCACATTCTTTTTAATTGACATATTGAAGAAAATGTTCCCTGTGCCCAGTTTAGTTCACCTACACAAGCAGTCAGGTTGAATACCACTATGGTTCAAAGAAACTAATTACAAATGTGTATAACAGACCTTACAGGTGGGGTTTATCTTACTCATTTCTCTACAAGGGAAGACCTTTGAGAATGTTTTAGGATTTTATCTAGCAATTTCACGTGGCTTAATAAAGCTTAATCCAGAAATATGGTTAGCTCTCCTATTTACAATACAAGCTGTCACTTTTAGATATAGCTACAGGCTCCAAAAAGCAGTTCCTGACAGAGCCACAGCCCAGCAGGAAACCAAATTTAATTCCTTTCCTCCCAGGGGATGTGACCAACAGGAATAGCCTTTTCAATGCTGAATGGACAGCTCTCACCTGGATGTGACTCTTCAAAGGCCATGCTGAAAGAACACACTGCTTAGCGTGCTGGAATCTGTACTCAGATAGATTCCATTGCTGCTTGTCAATTATGATACAGATTTTAATACACTTATAAAAGGAGTAAATTATTGATGACCTTCTTTATTCTTTGTACAAATGATTCAGGCTTGTGCATTTGCATTTACACTGTTTTAGGAAGTAGTAAGAAACAGGTTTCTTTTCCATCTGAGATAGGTTAGAATTAAGGTAGGTAATGTGAAAAATCACTAATGTGTCCCCCGATCCTGCATAATGTGACATTAATTGGTTTTTCTGCCATCCTTACTGAAAAAAGCTGGCATTCAATTCATTTCTTTGTGCGGGCTTCTGGAAAGATGTCCTCTGAAATACACAGTGACTCGTTTAACAGGATGCCCGGGGAGGTGGGCAGCCATCACTTCTTGCCAGTCAGTGACAGGCCACGTGGAGATGGCCAGGGAGCCCAGGGTGACTTGTTTTCATCTCTCCTTAATAGGTATCCCCTTTCTTTCCTATTTGCCCCACTCTCATTAGGAGGAATGCCGCAACCGCGACCTTGTCCCCAGATGGGGGACAGAGTACCAGAGTTCCAGCCAGTCTCTTTCCCACCCCGTCAGGATTATTTTCAGTGCCCTGACTGTGCAGCTAATCACAATGACATTAAATACAGGCCAGCTTGACTCATTTCCCTCTGCTCTGGAGACAAGCCAGCACTTAGTGAGACTGATGGCAGTCCAGAAATCACCCTGGCAGCTCTCGAAGGAGTTGGGGTTCTGCCCGTGATGATGGGGAGCGGTGAATTTCCTGTAGAAGGACAGGGCAGTCCATATCAAAAGTGTCAGGCTGGCGCTCTAGCAGGCCTGGAGGGCAGTGGTCTGTAGAAAGGTCCCCCGTCATTCTTGCAGCTCTGACAATGGTGACGCAGGGCCCTTCGCTCTTGCTGCTCTGTAGGTGCCTCCATTCTAGTGTGAGTGCATTTGAGGCTGTGAGAGAGTTACTTGGCCTCTTGTCCTGTTGGTCAGAGCTCAGTAAGCCAGACTTCTGCTGCAGGGACAGTGGACAACTGGGAAACATTCTAGCCGCATCCGCTGCAAGAGGAGGAAGGGATGTGGGATGGTGGCTTAGGCCAGTGCATCTCGAACTTTCCTGCAGCAGAATCACCTGGATGCCGGTTCTGACAGAGCAGGTGTGGGGGCCCAGGAATTTGCCTTTCCTGCCGGCTGCCTGGTGACGGTGAGGCTGCTGGGCTTCAGCAGTGCTGGGCATGATGCGTTTGCATGTTGTGTTTATCCACTGCTCAAGGGAACCAGCAGTACCTGTCATGCCGTGAAAGAGACAAGGAGCAAAATAGATGAGGCCACCTGGAATCTTACAAATAATTAAAAGTGTAAGGTTGGTGGAGTGTTAGGCGCTCTGGAGGACAAGGCCTGGGCATGCGTGTGTGTGAGGGACTGCTCCATGCCCTGGAGGGATGTGAGCAGGCCTTTGGTCACCAGGTAGAGGGACTTGTAGCGTTATTAGCTGTGTTGGGGTAGGAAGAGTAAAGCCCATGAGGAGATTGGAGAAAGACCAAAGACGCAGGGAAGACTGAGGGTAGTCAAAGGGGGTTGTAACTGCTTCTGCAGGCCAGATGCTGGTGATCTGGGCCTGAATTTCAAGTCTCTTCATATTTCAGGGCACCTGTAAAATAGGGACAATGTCTGTTTGGTAGGTTGTTTCCAGAGTAAATTAGGTGGGGGTTTTAGAAAATTGCTTTTTAAGTTTTTTTTAAAATTTTTGCAGTATTAGGGTTTGAACTCAGGGCCTTGTGCTTGCTAGACAGGTGCTGTACCATTTAAGCCACACACCCCCAGTCCTTTTTTTCTTTAGTTATTTTTCAGGTAGGGTTTCACGCTTTTACTGGGACTGGCCTTGGACAGTGATTCCTCTACATAGACCTTCCATGTAGCTGGGATTATAGGGTGAACCACCATGCCCAGCTTATTCGTTATGGTGGGGTCTCACTAACTTTTTGCCTGGGCTGGCTGTGAACCATGATCATCCTGATCTCTGCCTCTCAAGTAGTCAGAATTACAGGTGTGTGCCTGACTGGAAAATTTCTTGATTGGCGGTGCCTCCTAGTTTAACGAAATATGTAACATATTCATTTATAAAGTGGTTAACTCCAAACAACTTTATACATATTTGTGCCCTAACAACTTGGTAGTCATTTAAAAAAGCAATAAATATCAGTGGAAAAAGAAAAGGAAAGCTATTTTGTTTCTTTCTTAAATTACTACAGTTACTTAGTAATGGAGTGTGAGACCTTGGACTCACCGGACATCGCTGCCTTCTTTCCCTGTTCTGTTTTTGTTTGGTGCTGGGGGTGGAACCCAGGGTCTCGTACATGAGAGACCTGTGCTCTACTACCGATTTACACCGGCAGCCCGTGACGTTCACTTTTTATCACAGCACCTACTGAAATCCTTTACAAAGACAGGCCATCGAGAGAGAGTGGTGTCATCCAGTGGGGAGACCCAGGCTGGCAGTGTGGGTGGTGTCTGGCCCGTGCTGAGGCTTGCCATGTGGCCCTCAGCACACAAAATGCTTTGCCTCTGTGACCTCACCTGTGACCTCTGGGTGCCTTGGTGTGTGGATAGAGAACTTTGGGCTTCAGAAGGTTTTCTTCCTTCAGTTCTTTCATCAACGGTGACTCAGAAGCAGTGAAGTGTTGGCCGTGTGGGGGTGGGAGGAGCACTTCAGTCTTTACAGAGTGGAGGATGTAGACTCTTGGTTGGTGCCACGCTTGTGGGCTTCCCTGAGGCCGGGGCTTGGAAGGAGAGTCTTGGTGCTGTGAAGAGGAATATTTGATTTGCTCAGGAAGCAGCATGTTCTAGGTGGGGAGGGCATGCTGGGCCCCTGGGGAAGGACCTACTCCTCCCAGCTGCATTGACCTCTGCTGGACTAGTGTGCTTGAAGAATGGGAACCGTTCGGCGGGACATGTCTAGCTCACCATGCAGCTGGATGTTGAAACAAAGTCAAACACAAGAAATATTGTGGTTGGTGGAGTGACCCAACCGGTAGCACACCTGACTAGCAAATCTTGAGGCCCTGAGTTCAAACCCCCGTGCCACAGGAAAAAAAAAAAAAGATCCTTTTAAAAAGACAAACAAAAGAGAAAAAAGGACTGCTGTGGACTAGCATCAATTTGTGTGTGTCACCGGAATTGTGGACTGCACTTTGAGTAATTGCTCTGTCAAAGGGACATCATGTACAAAGGCCCTCGGTGGTAGGAGTCAGCTTGGTGAACAGGAGGGAAGAGAGAAAAGGCCAGGGTGGGAGAGGGAGTGAGCAGATGGGAAAGTTGGGGGAAGGGTGGGGATGGGTTATGCCGGTTCTCCAGGCTACCAGAAGAATGTGAGTATCAGTGAAGACATTTTCATCCTGATGAAGGTGAGAAAGTTGTCTTGATCACTTCCTAGGTGATAGTTGAGGGAATAAGGTAGATACTTGGTCACAGAGACCAGTATGACTCAGGCAGTCATTTGGCACTTCCCCTTCTTTGGCTTTGGGTGTTCTTGCCCCTGTGTGTGAAAAGGCTGCACAGAAGGGCCTGCTGGGTATCTAGATGGCTGCAGAAGCACCACACATGGCACCAGGGGCTGCTGACAGGAAATGGGAGGCCCAGCTTTGCTGCTTCCTTCCCTTCCCTGCTGTGAGACCCCCGCCCTTGGAGGCCATTCCCATGAGGTCAGGAGAGCGCTGAGGGGCTGTCCAGTCTTCTCCTGCTGTCCTGCCATTCTGAGGTTTGAGCTGGTGCCGCAGTGGGCCTGCTGCCAGCCCTGAATGGCCCCAGCCTTTGCAGGCAGAGGCCTGGGACAAGGCTCATTCTGATTTCAGCATCCAGCGCCCCCCTACTCAGGTGGCTTTTGTGGGGCGGTGGAGGAACTCTGGGCTCCAGCTGGGCGGTCTGAGGACTTGCTTTTGTGCTTTGGGAGGGAGAAGTGATGTGCTGTGGTTTCTCTGTGCAGGTACTTTGTGCTGGATTTTGAGACGGGCATCCTGCAGTATTTTGTGAACGAGCAGAGCAAACACCAGAAGCCACGAGGAGCCCTTTCTTTGTCCGGAGCCATCGTGTCCCTGAGTGACGAAGCTCCTCACATGTTGGTGGTGTACGCCGCCAGCGGAGAGGTGTACAAGCTGAGAGGTACGTGCTCTGAGGCCTTCCCGGGAGCCGCGTCCCGTCACAGGTGCGGGGCTCCTGGCTGGCGTTTCAAATCACCTGCGACTGGTGGTGGTGCAAGGTCACTGCCCTTCTCATCCTGGGGTGACTTGGAAATTGCTTGTCCTGATTACTGAGTAATTCAGGGCAGCGAAGGGGAGCGGTTGCTCAGGTGGCCGAGCCCTGAGGACTTTGGTTTGCCCAGTGTATGTTCTCTCTGACCTCATTGTGTGGGGGCCATGCTGTGAGGGCAGAACAGGTCCCTGCAGGATCATAATGTCTTTCCTCAGAGTTTCTCTAGAACCTTCTCTTAGCAAAGGGCCCTTTCTCTAAGTCTTAGTCTGTCATGGTCATGGAGTATGCTCAGAAGCCAGCTGGCATGAATGTCCCCTTGCACACTTTCTGCCTTCTCTTTCTGTCCCCTGAAAAATGACATTTGTGGCGCCCTCGGAAATGAGGCCGACTTGGAGGGAGCTCAGGGCACATCCGTCGCACAGAAATGCCAGACTGCATTGTCACACTGTGGTTTGATTGCCAGGCCACGCTTCCAGGATCCTGTAAGGGCTGCACTGCTCGATTCTTCTGTCAGCCTTCTTCTGACAAATAACAAGACAGACAAAAATCCGAATGCGCGCTCACGCACACCCACAGCACGCGCCTGCAGCCCGCGGTAGTTATCGAGGCCTGAGGCAGGCTTTGGATGTTTTAGGTGTGGGGATGGTTGCTAAGTCTGGCTTCTTGGAGGACATTTTTCTTGCCCTAATACCACAAGGCGGCCCCGTCCATCTCACCCGTCCTGAGCCAGGCCGCGGGCCTGCCGTCAGTTCAGTTTTCACTTGTCCAGCTGATAAACTTTACCACCCCAGACATGGAATAATGTTTCTTTATTATCTCTATATAAATCCTGTTTAAGAATCTATAAAGCAATCCAAAATCCTATGAAATAAAAATGCCCGTAGCTGAAGAGGGAAGTTGCTTGGTTTTTCGGAAGCGTGCAGATTCATGTTTTCTTTCGAGGGACGTGCAGCGTGCGGTTGCCTGGCTCGGTGTATGTGGTCCTTGGCTTCGCTTTGCTGTTTATGCCTTCGTAAATTGTCAGGGTGGAAACAACAGCAGGTGAAGAATTTAATGGCACACCCCTCCTCCGCTTTGTGGCTTATAAAATGACAAAACCCATACAAAAGAAAATGCCCAACTAATTTGACTTCTGAGTTCTCTTGTTTTACTTTTGAGTTGTTAATATTCTGTGGATTGTGAAACTCCCAGTTGTTTTTATAAAGGCAGTTTTAATAGCAAGCATCTGTGTTTTATTAGCTGTATGAAATAGTTACAAGTGTTAAATTTAGCTAAACTTACCAATACAAGAGAGGCAGGATAGCGTTTTGCATGTTTGTGGTTGGCAGTCTGTTTTCTTACTTCACATCTCCCCTGCACATGGTGGAACTGGATCTTAATGGGCAGCTTCAGGACTGTTTTTGATGCTAAGCCTCTGAACAGTTTACAGACACTGATCTCCCTGGTCTTCCGCTGTGTTTATCGTGTCTATGCAACAGGCCTCCTGACAAACAGATTGTTTTGGAATTGAAAAATGGCACTGAGCCAAAGAACTTTAGCTTTTGAAGCGAATTAGATTTTAGAACTCTGGATTTTGGTGTAATGTTCCAACTCTTCACCTGACAGTTTAAGCTGAAGTTGGGTTTTATTGACAAATGACACTTTGGCCTATCGTTGTAAGCAAGTGTAATTTCCGCAGGAATTATTTGGTCTTTTGCATAGTCAATACTTATGCAGCTAATATCATGACAGTATTTATGCAGTTAAGTTGATAATTTGGATTTTATTAACACTGTCTATGAAATTCAGAATAATTACATATATATTTGTATATAGTTTGATAGATGAGGTGTAGATGGATGAATATGATCACACAATTGACTTGTGTGCCCTAATGTCACTTTGGGGGAAATTTTTGAGGCTATTAAAGGGAGCATCTGGTGTCTTGTTCTGTCCAGTCATCACAATCCTTGAGAACACATAATATTGTGTTAATTCAGCTGAGTGCTTATTTTGTAAATGCTCACAGCACAGCACAACTCTGGGTAACAAAAGGCCCTCAAGAACCGTGCTTTGATCCTCATATTAGCCACACCAGGTAGAGCCATTTATAAACGAGCTTGTGTTTCCTTCTGCACTACCTTTTTAAAGAAGTAGAAATGACTGTTTCAGAGGTTGAAAAAAATGGCAAAATTATTCTTAGACGTTTCCCACATACATGTTTAATGTGGGTCAACAGGGAGTTTTCTGTGGAGAGTCAATGTAATTTGGTTCTTGGTTCGGACCACTTCAGAACACTGTGATCTGTATTTACTTCTCCTTTCCTTCCTCTGCTGTGCACTCCCCAGGTCCCCACCCCCTCAGGTGGGTGTAGACATGAGTTGGATGTGTTTTGGAGCAATCTCTGCAAGCCTTTCTTTCTCTCTGTTCTCTATTTTAGCTGCTGATGCAAAAGAGAAGCAGTTTTGGGTGACACAGCTTCGAGCTTGTGCTAAACACCACATGGAAACGAATTCGAAGGTAAGTGACCACGGGGAAGGAAGGAGGCCTCTTAGTCACCTGTTTCTTGGGGAAGATATTTTTCTTGTTATTTTTGAAGTAAGCTACTGTGGCAGAATCCATGCTTGTCCTGGTGCATCTAAATTCAAACACTGGCCAACGGAATGGGATATTCTCCCAGGTGGCCTGTAGAGGCCTGCAGAACCCATGTGGCAGCTCTGCCGAGCCACTCCACTGCTGCCTGTGGTCAGTTCAGGCCACTGCTAGTGGGCCTGTCGAGAGGTGTGAGTGGATGGCTTCATGGCTTCATGTGGAGGTAGAGCAGTCAGATTTACAGCTCGTGGAGAGTACTTATTGCTGGTCCTTAAACAACACTGAGACTTGAAATTGATCACGTACTCTACAAGAAGCTTCTGCATGCTGAGTGTGTAAAATGTTCTCCATTATTTGGCATCCAAGTATGATTTGTTTTGCCCCAGGATCTTGGGAGATCTTGTGTCAGACAGCAGGGGAAAGGAGGTGGGCATTTTCATGGACTATCGGGAGGATGTCCATTCACTAAAATGCAGCAAATCTTGCAAAATGCATTTACCCAGAGCAAGAAATACTTGTTAAAACCAGTGTTCAAAGGGGCCTCTTTTTATAGCATTAGTTCAGGCTTAGTTATTGTACCCAGCTTCTTCTTTTTGCTATATTCTGCACTTCACACATCATATGACCCCCATACTATCACCTGCCTGCTTCCTTGTTCAGGGCCCCTCCAGACACAACCTCACATGATTTCTTCAGTGTGACTTTTTTTTTTTTTTTTTTTTTTTTTAGTGCAGGGGATTGAATTTAGGGCCTTGTACTTGCTAGGCAGGTGTTCTACCACTTAAGCTGCACCCTAGTTCTCCTTCTTCTTTGTCTTCTTTTTTTTTTTTTTTTAATATCTCCATTTCCTTGACTTGCTTTGGACAGTTGCACTTACCTATGATTGGTCCTCTTGGTTTTTCCTGAGTTGAATTTTCAGGAATTATAGGGCCCTTCTTCTAAAGCTTCCCCCCCCCCCACCTTGATTATTTTCTAGGAATTATAGTAGTTCTGGACATTTGTTAGTATTTTATATATATCTAGACAAGGCAGTTTGTTTCCCCCCTTTTATACATTTTATCTTTTTTATACATTTATCTTTTTTACTTTTTATGAAACAAGAGGATAAAAAGGACCTATCCCTACCTATTGACAAACATACTCATTAGAGATATTTGCACTTAATTGTTCTTTTGTTGCCAGTCAGGTAAATTTAAGCACATGTCAGTATGTATTTGTGTGTGTATCTGTGTGGACCTGTATCTGTGTGTACTTCACACGCATGGGATAATATGATATGTACTGTTCCCACTTGTTTTCATTTATTCATATAGTTGGAGAGCTTTCTATATTAGACACATGGGTCTGTGTTACTCTGGTTAGGATGGCTGGGTGGTGCTCCAAGGAATTGATGTTAGTGCTTTATTGACATCTGCTACTGATGGACACTTATAGGTCTTGCTTTTTGGTTGTTCTTCTATATACATTTTTGTTAACATAAATATTTTTTACCTCTAGGAAAAAATCTTTAGAATTGATTTATTTGAAAACATTTTTATTAGTATATATCAATTGTACAGGGGCTTTCATTGTGACATTTCTCTGTGTGCTTATGATGTACCTCGGTTAGGTTCACTCCCTTCATTCCTCCTCCCACTTCTTGAAACATTCTATTTTGATACAAGTATATAAAGTACTTCAGCCATATTTGTCCTCCTTCACCTTTTCCCTTCATCCCTGCCTCTCCCACTACTACCTGCCCTTAAATCAGACCTGTTTTATATTCCTGTCCCTCATTTTTTGAGTGATATATTAATTGTTCAAAGGTATTTCACCGTGTTCACACATGAACGTATTATACCTTAATTGGATTAACACTCTCTATTACTGTCTTTCCCTGTCCTTCCTGGCTCCCCATTATTCAGCAGTTTTCAATGCATTTTGTTATGCTGCTTTTATACACAGATGCAATGTGTTATTCACTCTTTATCTTTTAGAATGAATTTATATCAGTGAAATTGCCAGATCATATGTTAAATTGCTCTCTGAATTTTCCTCTACATTGGTAAATTATCTTCTGAAGAAAGTTGCCCTAATTTGTATTCCCATTAATTCTACATGTAAGAGTTCCTTTCCTACTCTTATTAACCTTGGATATTATTAAGTTTTTGATATCACAGATAAAAAAATAGGATACCCCATTATTTTCACTTTCATTTCTGAAATCATGCCTGGGGCTTGTTTGTTGGCCATTTGTATTTTTTGTTTTGTTTTCGGTGTTGAGGGTGGAACCCAGGGCCTTGAGCATGGAAGGGTTCGAGCTCAGTGCATTGTGTGCACTGGGCGAGCACGGCTGCGGTGTCCCGCACTTGCTTTTCTATTGGAGTTTTTCCCTGCTTGATTTGCAGTAGCTCCCTGTTTGTGAAGGACACTGAGTTTTCTTTGTCATTTCTTCCACAGTTACTTTCTCCTCGTAGGTCATTTGTAATTTGATTTTTTTTTTTTTTGCTAAGAGGAACATTCAATTTTTTATGGTCAAGCTTATGAACATTTTCATTTTTGGGCATTTGGTTTTGCATCATGCTTAGTAAGGGCTTCTCTCTCTTGCGGTAAGCTTATGGCTTAATTGTTTTTAAAATACCGATTCATCTGGAATTTGTTTTGGGAGTGGGAACTGAGGTAGGGGAGCCGACTGTGAGTGCTTCAGTGTTTTGATGAATCTCTAGAGAGAAGAGTGAAGGCATCTAATGGCAGGGAAGGAAGAATGGAGATTCTTCCAAGGAGAACTTGATTTCCTGATATAGTCTTTGGTTAGTTTGGAGTACTGGTGAATCTATTAACAATAGACCTAAATAAATAGTAATTTGGAAGTTTTGGCTTGTGGGGTTCTTACTCTCAGAAGTGGAAGCCAGCTGGCCTGATTGCAAGGGCAATAGGAAGTTAGTTCTACATTGTGAGCAGACCTTGCTATTCTGCAGAAGTGTTATGAGGTCCGGGGCTGCTTGGCAGAAGTTAGTAGCGAAAATGAAGTTGAGCTTAGAGTAGAAAAAGACATCCAGTGAACTGCAGGTCGGTACTCAGTTAATACCGGGGTTATTAGAAATATATGCTAAGCCTTCTCTTCACTGCATTTCTTCCTCGTTCTCTGTCGGCAGTCAGACCCCTCCCGGGATCTGCAGAGAATACCTTTCCTACAACTGCTTGGAATTTCACCTTTTAAAGACTTCTCATGTAAAATCAAGGGTTCCCTGGAACAGCTATTAGGCAGGTGAGGCGCTGCTGTTATTCCATCTCACTTCAGTGAGAACTGCAGGGTAACCAGAACCACAGACTCCAGAGCTGATGAAAGTTTCAAAAATGTCCAAACCAGTTGTTCTAAAACCCTGGCTTCCCCTAGTCACTCCCTGACCGGTTTCCCTGTCCCAAGGTGAAGTGAGAAAAGCAAGGAGGAAATTGTTCCTCAAGACACGGTCACTTAATATAGATGACTACTCTTTTTTTCCCCCAGAAATTCTATTTCTTTGCTTTTGGAGGGTTAAAATAGTATTCCTTTTTATCGTAGAAGATGGGAGAGTATTGATTGATCAGTTGCTTTTAAAACATTCAGGTTTATTGAAGTATAATTTTCACATCATAAAATTCACTCTCTTAAGAGTAAAATTCAGTGAATTTTGATAGATATAGTCAGTCATGTTACCACCACTGTAATCACAATTCTACCATCCCTCATTTTTCCTTCAGTACCCACTATGGTCAAACCCTCTCAGCAACTGGAATGACGGATCAGTTTTCTGGCTGTAGTTTTGCTTTTTCTAGCATGTTCTATAGATGCAGTTGCACAGCTTTTGATGTCAGATTTGTTTCGCTTACAAAAATCCTTTTGAATTTCATCCACATGATTGTGTATATCAATAGTTCTGTCTATTACATTTTCAGTGGGCTTGCAGTACCATTTCTTTTTAATCTCTTTTTTTGCAAAAATCACAAGTAGATGATCCTGTGTCACTTCCCAGACTTTAAAAAGATGTATTGACCTCTGCAATGTAGAGTTCTGGCTGTCTGGTCCAGCTTTCTGTGGCTTATACATGAGGACATTCCAACCAGGAAGCTGTGGAGCTGAGAATTGTGTTAGTCAGTCTTCTGTCACTGTGACAGAATACCTGAGAAGAACAACTTAAAAGAGAAAGGTTTATTTTGGCTCACAGTTTCATGGGTTTCAGTCCATGGTTTATTGCCTCATTGCTGTGGGCTTTCAGTGAGGCCAAACACTAAGGTGGGAGGTCATGGTGGCGCAAAGTTGCTCTCCTTAGGGCAGCTGGGAGCAGAGAGAGAGGGAGAGAAAAGTGACACCTGGCCCCACCTCCGTGTTTCCATTATCTCCCAATAATGTCATCAAATTAAGAATCCATCAATAGATTAATCCATCAGTATCCAGTCACTTATGACCCAGTCATTTCCCAAAAGCCCATCAGCTGGCAACCAGGTCTTTTAACACGTCAGCCTTCTGAGAACATTTCAGATTCTGACCATAAAGACTTGAACTTGGATCCCTGGCTTCTTGCTCTTGCCTCACAGATGCCAGTTAGGGCTGCGATGTGCTTCCCTCGATGGGTAGTGGGGTTCCCTTTAGGATGGTTTCTCTTTCTGGATGGACAGTAACGCTGACCAGTTAAGAATCCCCCTTTCTTCGATGTCACTTGAGTTCGTCCTGTGGCTTCTATTGTTGAGATGGACTTGTCAGGGTATGGAATTAGTCCACTAGGAAGAACAGAAAACTAACGTTCTCTGAACACACAAACAACAAAACACAACATGGTGTCTGTGATTGCAGTGTAAACAGTAAAGCAGCCTAGGGCACCATATGGCTGGGAATCATTTGAGAGAGCCCTGGGGACCATCCCCAGGAGAACATACTTGTGTGTGACATGCAAAGTGTTCAGTGCAGGAGT